CTGGTTTCTGAGAATCCTAGTTTTACCATAGACTTTGAGAGTAATTTGAAAGAAGTGGCTTAGTCTGTTGGGGTGGGTTTTTATTTTTTGCTTTGGTGTTTTGATGGGGGTTTTTTGAGGGTGTTTTTTGGTTTGCTCATAAGCTGCTTTTGCTGAGGAAATAGCAATTTTGGTTTGGGGCCTTGACAAAAATGACTGGGAGCAAAATGTTTGTGCTTTCGAAGTTATAATAAGTAAATGCCATTCAGGGGATTTTTTGTCTTCTGATGAAGGGCTGGGGGTTTTATGGTGTGTGTATGCAGTTGGCATTTTTTGTTTTTCAGGGTTTTTTTGCAAGAGGAGGCTAAAGGGATTTGGACTCTTACTTCTCAAAGGGGCTAGAATGAATTTTGTTCTCATTCTGGGCATGTTCAGGAATGCTTCTTGTTTCTGTTGTCTGCACTACATTTAAACAATTTGCATGCAATAGCAGGCTCTGAAGCAGCGCTGCTGTTACTGCCATGACAGGGTGAGAGACTTAATGGTCATTTGAACAGTGACATTTTTTTAAGTCATCTTGGAGCCAGAACTGAAAACTTGAGTCAGTGGTTGACTGGTAAGAAAATAATGTTACATTTTCAAGGAGCTTGAGCAAGTTAGTTAGCCCCATGGGAAATATAATGTATTAAGAAATTACTTTTTTTTTTTTAGTCTTAACATTGAATTTGTTGTGTATTGAAAGAAAGCAGTATTTGCATTATTTTAAGCATAACAGTACAACTCTGTATTTTTATAAATCTGTTCATGAGTTCCCTTGGGAGGAGGCTGGGACAGGCATGGGAACTGGAACTTGAAAAAGTGTTACCTTCTTGACACTACTACCTATAGTAGCATTGCTGGGCTGGGTAGCATGGTTTTCAGTGCAGCTTTTGCAACCTTGGCCATGGCCTCATATATGTACTTTGCTACAGCTGTTAGGTATCATTGCAATTGTGCTGTATAATATGCAACTCTTTTTAGTTGCAAACCTGGTGTTTGTAACCATGAGCCCACTCTGCAAAAATATTTGACATATTGCAGAATACATAATCTTGTGCTTACTTTAGAAAAAAACTAAATCTGCCCTACCTACTCATTTCTGCTACTACTCACTATTCAGTTTGGGACACATTACAGTTAATTGGCTTTGTCTTTTTTCTTGGCAGTACTTTATTGTCCTTTTTATTTTTAGTTAGCATTTTGTCAACTTGTAGGCTATTTCATGTACTCCTGGCCTGTTTGACAGGTTGTTTTCCCAAGCACAACTTCATCTATTTCTGAATTCTGTAAATAGTTAATTTGTAATGCTCTAACCTGAACTCTGCTATGACTCAACAACTTCAGCCACTGCACTGGGGTTCGTGTAATACACTGTGCTTGATTACTACATATAACACTTCAGTTTGGGGAGGGTGTACACAGAAGCTCTCCAGCTTTGCTGTGTGTGCTTGCACTGTATCTGCACTAAACTGAGATATTTCTGGCTTCGGTGTCCCTTTTTCTTGCCCTTTGGCAGAACCTTTCAAACAATTCTGGAATAATGAAAATAAACTCTGATCAGCCTGTTTGGAAAGAGCCAGTTGGAATAGGATGTCCCTGACTGATGAATTCGTCCTTTCCTTCATGCCCACCAAAAGTGTGTTAAAACCTTTTGCCTGTTAACATGTCAAGCCTTGGAAGAGTTTCTAATTAGAGAAGTTAATCTTTGTTTTTATCAGCTTTTACCTGATGAGAATTTCCATAGATTTCCTGAGACTGGAAGTCTTTGGCAGCTAAAAATTTAGCCTGCTTGAAGTGTGGGCCATGCAGCTGTCACTGTGGCTCTACAAGGTGCTTTATACTTAGGCTGATTTGAGTCCTTGTAGGAGGGACCCAGCAATAAGTCTTCATTAAACATGAGAACCTTCTTTGTTGCCATGATTCACGATCCCAAAGAAATTATGATGGGGTGTTATTTCAGAAGGGCTTCCAGGACACAGATTGGAGGAACCTGACCTGTCAGGCAGGACAGGGTTGACTGACATGAGAACCAGCTTTTCTTTTTTCCCTTTCTCTCTGTAGTTGCTCATTATCCTGGAGCTTCCCAACCTGCAAGTGTAATTCAGTCTTTCTGTGTTTCTTCAAGGACAAAGAGACAAAAGGGAACACAAGTGACTGCCTTATGTTAGTTCAGTTTTACCTTGGGTTGTGGCTGTAGGTTTGTTTGTAAACTGGGCATTTGAAATGCCCGCCCCACCCCAGTATTTGCCTGTGAGGTTTCACAGTGCTCACACAAGTTCTCCTGGGCTCCAAGGAACTGGCAGTGGTTTGATTGTTAGGGTTTTCCTTGCATCATTGTTCTCAGTTACCTTAACTGGCATAACAATAAAGTGGTAACTGTATATGCAGTATGTGTATATTGTTTGTTGCCATATACTCTCGTTTTTGAGATGGAAGTTATTCAGGTGTTTTACATCTGACAGGTCTGAACCATCTGTCTAACATGGTAGGAGTATAAAATATTCCCAGTTTAAGGTTGCCTTTTTTTACGTTTTTTTATAAAAACATGTACAAGCTGAGGGTCTGTAGAGAAAGTATGACTTGTTAAATTCCAGCTGATTACATCTACTATGAATATTCTTATATGAAATCAATTTCATATTCTTTTATGAATGTGGTACCAGGTTTTGATAGAGGAAGCGTTTTTTCAGCTTCTGTGTTATCTAGAAGGGTGGGAGGAGGAAAAGACTGCAAAAATTGGAATTTTATCATAATATGGACATTTTTTCCATTAGACACTGCTTTTATGCATGTAAGCATATGTAATTTCTGAGGAAAACCCCTTCTATTTTGCCTATACCACCCATTTCGTTTCACGCACAGGAACCAATTGGTAGTCTGCAGTTTGGCTCCCTAGGCTGTCAGGCAGTGAGGAGGCAGAAGAAAGGAGAACAGATCATCCTTTACTGTTAGTAGAGGAAAGGAGTTATCTCCCCTTTTATCTCCCTCTTTAGTGCAACATCTCAAAGAAAGTTTTTTGTCAGCAATTTGTTGGCTGCAGCAGCTTTATCATGTAAGTGGTATGAGTTGCTGGGAAAGCTCATTCAATGACAAGCTAAATGTTACAATTTCCTGTAAGCTATGTATGTAATACTGCATTTTATGATGTAGCCGTGCAGTGCAGAGCTGTTCTCCATGTAACACATGTTGAACATTAACTACTATTTGGGTACAGAAGGTGGAGTGTGCTCTCTCTGGTTTCTATTGGGTGTGTGGCAGTTGAAGATAAACATACTGGTAGTTAATGCCATAAAGCTAGCAACAAGGAATAGAGCGATCACAGGGCATCAAAGAAGTTTTTCCTAGTTTTGTGAATTCCTCGTGTCTTGCTGTTTCTCTTTTATTGCTTTGGAGGGTTTTATTCTCCCTCATTTGAGCAGAATTGGTTTAAATTCTGTTGTGCTTTGGTTTGGCTTCTTTTAACAAGTGCTGAATTTCCTACATAAGAGAAAATATGTTCTGGATACTTTTAGCAAGCTTTTTGTTTGGTTTATAGCAATTATTGTACATCTAAGGATGATGGTTTCTTAGTAATGTGCTGCCTTAAGAAGCTGTTGTATTCTCATCTGTTTTCAATAGCATGTTAAGCTTTAAGAATGTCTTTTACTCACCTCTTGACCCTGTAAAATAATAAAGCCATATCTTACAATGATAATTTGATGCTTATTTTAAGTTTTTATGCAGCTTGTTTCAATGGAGCTTGAAGAACCTAAGTTTCCTTGACCTTCTTGGAAAAATAGAGAGAGATTAAACTCTTGATCTTGTCTTTTGCTGGAGAAGGCAGATTTTAGACAGCTCGGAATCCTGGACAGGAGTTCTGTGTTACCGTTGGTTTTGCTGTTGTGCAGAAGACCAGACTAAAGGGACTGAATGCTATTTAGCTCTCCTTCAGCTGAAATCAGTGAATTCTGCTACATTTTGGGATGAAGTGGCAATGCCTAATACGTTAGAGCTTAAAAAAAAATATTTTCAAAGGTGTATGAGGTTCCAGAGCTATACTTTCCTGTATAAAATACACTTGTGGCTTCAGTCTCTTACTGGGATTTATGATAATCTCATGTGTTTTTAGCCAAGGTTTTTTTTGCTCAGGAATTTGAAAACTTACTTCCTCAAGTAACACAACAGAGTTTGCATGAAAAATTGGTTATTCCCTCTTCCTCCTACCCACCTGTAGCCTCCAAGCTTTGCTTCTTCTGGTGCTTGAAGTTGAAGCACTGGGTATCTAAGTTCTTGGCTTAAGCCTGGTATAAGTACACAGGCCAGTGCAGCCTAACTTTAAAATGAGCCAACCTTTCTACTGGTACCCGTAGTCCATGATTGGGGTTAGTTTTTTTCCCATGCCTGTGTGTTCCAGATGGGATGCCAAGTGAGAATTGTAGCTTCTTGGTTTTGCCTTCTTTTGTCTCTCCATTTAGAGGCTGTAAATGTGATTGCAATTAGCAACATTATTGAAAGATTGTTATCAAGTCTCATTAATTTTCCTCACAGTGTTCAAGTATTGAAGCTGTCCAGAATTTATTATGGCACTGCATGACTGCAGTTGGTACGTGATAACAGCCAGCAGATTTCAGGCAGTGTGTCAAGCACGCTTTTACTGGAGAACTTGGCTTCCTGGGGTTTAAAAGGTTGACATCTGTGACTTGGGACACTTACAGGACATGAGCCTTTCCTTTCTCTCCTAGACTTTGAGTTCAGTGAATTTTGAAATTTTCTTTGAGTCTGATGCTGTTGAAATAGCTGCAGACAGGAACGTCATGTCACTGTATCCTTCTTAAAGAAAATAAAAAATGTCAATAGAATTCTTTAAAATAAATAGAATTACTTTTTAGATATTGTTTTCCATTGTGCATGTCCTCTCTCCAATTTGAATTGAAAAAGAAACCCTCTCAAACAAAGAAACCCATACCCACCCACAAAATAATCCACTTTCTTTTCTGTTACAGAAAAATGCAAAGGGACAGGAGTTGTTTGACCAGATTGTGTATCATTTGGACCTTGTGGAAACGGATTACTTTGGCCTACAATTCATGGATGCTTCCCAGGTTACAGTAAGTATAACTTCAGTTAGTTTATGTTTTACGGAGTTTTGAGTTGCCTATTATAAATGTATTACTGGTGCAGTTTCATGGAGAGATGTGTAGGCATTAGGGGATGTACTGCTGCAACAACTGACATCATGTTTTGTTCTAGCACATAAGGCCAAATCCTCTAAATGAGTTGTGATATTTTATATGATATGCACCTTACATGATTGCACATAAGTTAAAAAGCAATAATTGTGGGTAAAAAAAACCCAACTTGCTTTATGTTTAGTAGGCTCATGACCTACCTAAAATGGGTTAAATCTAATACTAACCTAAAATGGGTTAAATCTCTTGCAAGCAAGGATTTCTCATAACTCCTGTCTTTGCTGCTCCATGCGCAGATTATGTTGCTCTGTAGATTTATTTTCATTTGCAGTAGAGAAAAAAATTTCCTTCTCTCCCCTATCCAATGACCTCCATCATCTACAGGTAAAAGGAGAAAAGAAATGTATTTATAGTTGCAGGTAGATAGATATATTAGTAACATAAGTTCAGAAGACTGTAATCTTGTGGTTAAGCTGTATTGCTACATATTTCATCTTCTCCTTTGTCTGCACACCTCATGTGCAGAGGTATTTATACGACAGTAACCTGGGTTGTGGATAGAGAATATACAGACTTGGAAAATAAATGTTTGCTTCTAGATTATCTGGTCAGTGTGTAAATGCTTTTTCCATAAAACCACAGATGTATTCTGTGCTGTTAGAATAAAATTACGGTAACATGTAGATGCAATATTGACTTCTTGTGAAAAGTAGGTTCTAACTTTATAATCTCAGATTCTCAGCTTTGTTCTCTAGCAAGTGTGGGTCAATGTGATGAGGTCAGATCAGTGTTTTACCAGCTCCACTGCGATCTGTGTTTTACCAATTACATTAAACAACAGACATGAAACCTGTCTGGATATTATAATGACTTGATATTGAGAAAGGGAATCTGTGCTTTTGGGGAAGTGAAAGCTGGTATTATCTATTCAAACATTATCCTAACATCCCCAGTTAAATTAAGGGTATGTATTTATCACTGAAAAATGATATTTGAATGAAGTATGTCCATAACAGATTTGGGGTTTTTATGAAGTTTAGTGTGTGTTCCTGATAGAGTCTCTATTATGTAAATTGTCTCCTTTTATGATGGGCCTGATCGTAAGGATACAGCTAATCGAGCAGAGCCTGCTTGTAATAGGAAAAACAGATTATATTGTCACTGCTTGTCAAATCAAGTAATTTGGAACTTGATAGCTAGGAGTAGTTACCTAGCAAGCAGTTCTGTAATATTTTGAAAGAAGGGAAGCAGAAAGGTAGAGTGAAACATCCTTTCCTAGTAAGAAATTAAGCACATCAGGAGCAGAAGACCTGGCTGAGGCAGCAGAGAATGCTCATTTTCTTGTATATTTGCAAAACTGAAGGACACTCTTGAATGGTAAAAAAGATGAAGCAGAGATGCAAGCCAAGTAAATTTTCCATAGGTAGCTTGATCCCTTGTGTTAGGACAAAATGTGCCTACGTGTAGAAGTGTTTTAGCTTGCTTTTTATGTTCTTTCTTTCCTCTGTATTGAGGCAGTAAGTATGGAAGTAAGTCATGGCACCTACAGTTACAAGAGTGATAAGGGCTATGGACAGCTTCTGGGGGGCCTAAAAAAGCCAATACTGGTTGCAGGTCTTTGGTAGTAGGCTCATGGCTTCCTGCATTAAGGGGAGCATTGAGGGCAGAGTTCTTCACCTTCACTGGAGTGCAAGGCTGAAAGCTCTTATTTTGTTGTTTGGGGTTTTTTTTTGTCTGGCTCAAGCTAGGCAAAGTAGAGCATAGAGAGCTTCAAAGCAGAAACTTTTAACTTCCCCAACACCCTGTGCAAAAAGATTCCATGCTCCAACAGCTTTCCTTGGTCTGTTTTGAACTTGTGACCCACTCATTTGATTTGCATAACAATTAATGCATAGCCTCCATGTGCTTCTGCTTAGTGCCAGCCCAGGCACACAGTAGCAATTGCGGGATTGGGAGATTAAAGTTGTGTAAACTCCTTGAGGCTCTAAACCTTTGTCTTTATTATGTATTGTTAAGTGCTAAACATCTCTAAGCCACCTTTATAAGTAAGAGAGCACGAAACAGTCTTTGAATAGTGGAGATTGCTTCTGTGTGTTTCAAGGCCAACGGCTTTTGAGTGCTCTGTGTTTCTTGCAGTCCTGTAACTTTGCCAAAGAGTTGGGACAAGCAGTGTTGACAGCTGTGATTTAGAAATGAAAATCATTATTAAAACTTACCTGCTTTGAAGCGGGGGGAATCAAACTTTTTTTGAATAGCTTATTTTTAATACACACCCCCCCCCAAAAAAAATAAAAATTAAATACAACCAAAAACCACGAAGTTGTGAAATGCAGAATGTCAGCAGTAAGGCAGAAAATACTGTAAAGCCTATTCAGTGAGCCTATTCAACATCATTTTGTATCTTGTGCTCTTTGAAGATATCCATGAATAGATTGATGTAGACAGTCATCTAGTAGGGTAGTCTAAAGCAAAACTTTGTGTACTGTTGTATTTTAAGTTATCCTATATTAACTCCAGAAGCAGAATTACTCAGGGGTTGAGAGGTTAAGTATTGTTGGTGTGTGGGAGAACTTGGTCTGATGGAGAACCTTTACCTCATAATTGAGGTTTAAAAAGCAGCACAGGTATATTGCTTGCTGATGTTCAGCACCTTGACTAATAAAAATGTATAGCTTGTAATGAGGAATAAAACTGCATCCTACTATATGCTACTGTAGTAGCATTATGATAGCTTTGGACCAACTCTTTTTTTTTTTCCTTCTACGAGACTTAGTAAAAACCTTTTGCAGCTGTTCTAGTGGTGGTTCTTTCATCGTTGCCATTCTTTAATTTCTATTTTTGTGTATGTTGTATAATGTGCATAATGTAGTAGTACAGTGGGACATGTATATACTTAATAAATAATTATGCATATATATATATATATATATACATGCTCAGAAGCTTTTTGTGCCATCAAAAAAGTTTGGAAACCACTGCTCTAGGACAGCTCGAGTGAACCTGGGAACATTTTAAGGCTGTTCAAACGATTCCATCATTTTGTAATAAAAGCTCTGCTCTTCTTTTCTGTTCCTTCTGTTTGTGGAAGGGAGGAAGGAGAGAAAGAGAGAGAGAGAAATGAGGAATGAATGAAGGAAATGAGAATCAAAGACATAATTTCTTGTTCAGCTGTTGCAGAACTTCAACAGGGAGGTAGTGCTTGGGATGATTGAGGAGTGTCACTTACGTAGGAGGTCTCTGCAGTGGTTTAGAGGAAATGTAAAGCTTATTGGCTTTTTAATTACTTTTATTATGGTGTTTGTATTATAGCAAAATAGGAAGCCTTTGGAAATAGCACTAATATCTTACGAGACCATACTATTGAAATTGAGTTGCCGTGAGGATGTACTTTATTGGTCTTTGCAGAAACTGGTCACGTGCAGTGTATTTTATGGTTGGTTTGGGTACTTGACATTATTTTAGGCTGCCAGTAGCTCGCATTCTGTCTCTTATTCCATATTATTGTAAGAATGATGGTTTACAGCTCCTTATGAGCTGCAACGTATTATAGAATTCTCTCAGAACGTCGATCTCTCCATTACTGCAGTTGCATTCTTTGTTCCAGTTGTCTGACGTGTGATAGCAGAACATGGATACCTTCCCAGCACCCCCTTTTTTAGGAGAGTTCAGAACAGGATCACCCATGTTGATTTTCTTGGAATTTGCTTCTGTTTCCCTCATGATTTTGTTTCTGATCACAAGAACAATTATAGAGTAATTGAGGAGGAAGAAGATTTAAGATAATATTTAATTTTTATTTTTTATTTTTTTTTACAAATGAGCTGCTATATAGTCCTTGAGGTGTGAAAGTTCAGTTGGGAATGCACAGAAGCAAAAGAATTAAAATACCACTTTTCTTAGATGCATCTTGTTTGATCCTTTAAGTCCTTTATGTCTGATCTCTAATGTTGCAAAGGCCCCTTGTCTTAGACAAAGTCTGTATAGAACAACCTTTGCCAGCTGGGTAAAATACATTGCACTCTGAAGGCAGTTCTGAGGATGTGTACATGTACCCATTGTATCTGGCATGTTGGGAAGCACTGGATTTTCAGTGCTTCTGTGCAAGGACATCCTGTGCATCCTGCAGGTGCCTATGGCTATGATGGGGATCAAGGCTCCCTGTGGAGATAAGAGCCAGGCCGACCTGCAATGACTTGTCCTTGCAAGCTGCTTTTTCATCTGAACTTCTTGCTATAAACCAACTCCTAGATTGAGTTCTGGTTCATTTGTTGTGAGAGATGAGAAGATGGTGGAGGAAGGAGATGGAGAAGACCGTGTAGAAATAAAAGTAGGGTTTTGTGAAAGCAGTATTTCAAGTACAAAAATAAAAGGAAAAAAGGGGGCAAGAACTGCATTACCCAGACTGGGCCTAACCAGCAGCAATGTGCCAGGACCCACTGATCCTGACACTGAGATCCTCACCTGTATGGGAGGTGGCCTTGTGGCCAGGTTTTTCTGAGAGGGTCAGGATCCTGTATGCTTCACAACAAAGGTTTTCATCAATGCAGTATTGAGGATGTGATGTGAAGCAAACTAGACAACAAAGAGTAATATCTGAATGCCTCTGTTTTCTCTGCATATCCTGAACTAAACTCCTGGCTGTTTCAGCAGGTATTGCATCAGGGTATTGGAGGGACTTGGTGCTTCATGACTGCCTCTGCTGCATCTGAATTTTCTTTTAAGGGCTCATTGTCATTCAAATCAAGAATTATTTCAACTGCTTGCTTTTGATGTTACCACTGTGATTTCTTAAGGGTGTTGAGGGACATGGAAAAATGAACAACTCAAACCAGTCAATTAACCTTAGAGTGTGATATCTGAGAGTCTTTTTCCTTATGTATTACTTCATACTGTAATAATAAGTGCTCATTAAGCAGAGC